GCTGTGACAATTACCCTCCCCCCACCTCCTCTACCCCCTCACCATGCGCCCATATTTAAGGCCAATAGCTTATACTCTGGGAAAAAGAGTTTTATTGTCCTGACTTTTCGGATTCCGTCGGGAATCCTTAATCATAGGTAATCGTAGAAAAGTCTGAGACATGCGCAGACTTTTCAGACTTTTCTACGATTATCTATGATAAGGGATTCCCGACGGAATCCGAAACGTCAGGACAATAAAACTCTTGTTTCAGTGGTCGCATCCTCTTCTTCTGAACTGCTTCCTGGAACTCGCATATCGAAAGTCTACGTCGTTTCTTCTTCTTCTTCTTCTTCTTCTTCTTCTTCTTCTTCTTCTTCTTCTCTTCTTCTTTTATCAGGACAATAAACCTCTTGTTCCAGTGATCGCTTCTTCTTCTTCTTCTTCTTCTTCTTCTTCTTCTCTCGTGTTCCAGTGATCGCTTCTTCTTCTTCTTCTTCTTCTTCTTCTTCTTCTTCTTCTTCTTCTTCTTCGAATTCTTCTTCTTCTTCTTCTTCTTCTTCTTCTTCTTCTTCCAAACTGCCTCCTGGAACTGCTTCCTGGAACTCGCATATTAAATTCTATTGGCAAGCTTATACTCTATTTACCTATCAAGTTTAACCCCTAAAGGTCAATACTTAACTGGAGAGTTCAAACTTGTTCAAACTTGCGTTTTATTTATTACAGTGGTGTTACCGCCGGCGGCCGGAAAGAAGCATATCCACAAGCCAGCATCCTGTCTTGAATGAAATGTTTTGGGGTTTAGTAGCACAACAATATGACGAACCTAACTGAAGACACATTTCCAAGTTTTCAGCTAACATTTTTTTGTGATAGGTACTTGACTTAAAAAAACACAGTTTATGCCGTGATGGTTAAAGTTTCTTCAATCATTCGAACCCTCAGAAATGTCCAGCTTGGACAGATTTGAAAAGGTGGCAACAAAAAGACAACTGTAACTTCGTTTTCCATATTTTCCGACCAAGATTAACACTTATATTTATGTAAATACTCGACCGGACTCATTTTCGGAATATTTTTTTTTATTCAGGCAGTGAGTCTGAGAGCGAACGCGAACATCTGGACAAGGAGGTGGACAGCTCAGCCCCACCAGTGACAGGGATGGCCCCCGTGTTCACAGTACCACAGACGCTAGAAGCTTCGGAGACAGTAGATTCCGCAACTGGAACCCAGACCCACGCGGATGGATATTCAAGTGCCTGTCCTAACACGGACCTGCACAAATTTCAGCGGCTACCAAGACATGCTGATTTCGGTACTGAAGATGAACATTATCAGCAGCTCTACAGTCGTGGTGCCTCTGGCAACACTTTCAAACACCGACGAGCACGAACAGCCTTCACGTACGGACAGTTAATGGCGTTGGAGAACAAGTTCAAAACAACCCGTTACCTGTCCGTGTGTGAGCGAATGAATATGGCGATTTCTTTGAATCTGACAGAAACGCAGGTAATTTGATTTGCCGCAGAAGCAGCTTAGATTTTACTGTTGACACATATGACACAATTTATGACAAAACTGTCTTGTAGGACAGCCTAAATATCAATTCTCCCGCCCAACTGTCCTACAGAATTGGTAGTTGAACATTTAATTCTTGGCTAACGGGTGTAAATGAATATCCAGTTATGTCGAAAATGACCCAGTAATATTAAATTAAAGTCGCATATAGTTGTTTTAATGAGCTAAAGAGAATCACCTCCATCAACATAAGCTCCTGCTGCTCGGGCAACTGATGCCGATGGTTGGAAATCTGACCTTGTATTGGGGGATTTTAACGAAAAAAGGAACGTCGGGCTACTGCAAAAAGTAGGTTATTATTATTAGAAGTCAAAGGCAAGTAGGACCTTTAAAGATAGTCCTGCCCAATTCATTTATAGTATGATCTTGCGTAGTCTTCCACCGTCAACTTCGTAGCTTCAAGACGTTACTGGAGCAACAAAATTACAGGTGGTTAAGTAACCGGAGGGGACCGTATACAAAAAAGCAAACATTTTTTAAACTTTAAAAGTAAGTTTATTAGGCAAGCCATGCTTTTCGTCAACTCTTCGTCAGGCCTTTAACTTTGCAAAACAATGAACATTTGAACGTATAAAAAAATCAATAATTGTCCTAGGTGGACGCCTATTGGCTACTACGGACTTTGTCAGTCTACGCAAGTGGTCGGCGTGTTGGGTGACCGACTGCCACTCGTACCTGGCGTCTGCGTCGGCCACGGAAGGGACAGGGCTTGTGTGTTGTAGCTTTGTGTTGTTTAAACCACAAAGGGCATGATGCTCCCTGTAGTAATCCGTTTTTTGGATCTCATTTTACCGATTCAGATATGAGGAAAGATCGACTGCAGTAATCAGTAAAGTATTCTGTGCGTTTTAGGTGAAAATCTGGTTCCAGAACAGACGGACAAAGTGGAAGAAAGAAAATCCCTCCGAAAATCATCATCTGTGCGTTTCCAGTCGACAGGCAGACGCGACCCGCGCAATCAACCATCAGTCCAACACCCCCTGTGGCAGCGTTTGTAAACTCATAGAGAATGACTCAGTGGATAGTACGACTGAGAGCAGCGACGGTTCGTCGCGGCTGACCTGCAACGAAACTAACAACAACAACAACAACAGGCCGGTTGAACTGCCAACACCCGACCCCAACTTCCTCACCTCGCCTGGAGCTAACCTCTGGCTTGCCTATCTGTACGGTCAGCTGCAGTCAACACAGCCGGACGCAGACCTCTCCACAAGTGTCTCACTTTTCGGCAGCAATCTGAACCGTCTGGCGAGCATGGATGCGCAAACAGGCCAGCACGGTGTGAACAATGTCTGCTAGAATAGCCAAAATGTCCCCCCCCTATGGGTTGCGACGAC